TTACAGGGCCGGGGGGTGACCCAATATATACTATAGTAGTTTTCCACTCATGACGTTGCAGAACGAAGGATTTTCTTGGGCTACTGCGTTGATGGAGCTATGCACAGGGTTTGAAGTGCATGATAACCTGTTTCCCTGGTTCAGGGCTAAGGGGTCAAGGCTTTTAGGGTGCCAGCGCGAATTGGCAAGTACTGGGGAAATCGGTGAGAGATAGGTGCTCTGGGTCGAATCTGAGTACCCAAGTTGCGGCCCGTTTCTGCCAAGGTGCTCACCCCCAGAGCCCTTTCATGTCAGGAGTGCGGAAGATCCCAATGCGGCGGCTGAAGGATATTGAATAGACTGCAATGGCCCCCTCAGTGAGCACAACAAGATTCATGGATTTACTACGTGCCAACGACAACACCCTTTAGGGATTATCATCTAAATAAGTACTGGCTCGGCCTAAGGACTCGAATTCAGAGTTACCCTTCTACTCACGATTTCTCAGGATTGGTATGGAAATTTGCTTGACCTGACACGCCGTGCAGTCTTCAGACAGGTCTCTATGCTCCTCTCATGATCCGTGTACAAACGTCGAACTGCTGGCCCTCCATTTGAAAAGCCATCACGTCAAGATGATCCTTGATCATTAACAGAATGTCTCCGAACATTGCTGATTTGCAGCTGCCTCTGCTCATCAAGCGATGCAACCGCAGACTACACATTTTAAATCCAAATCGAAGCTCCCTGGAATCAGAGGCGGTTTAGCGTTTAGGCCTCCATCCCACTATCAAAACTGTTCTGGTCGTCAATCCAATGGCCACTCTGCAGCAATCAGTGCCTCTGCTGTCTCCGCTACATAGTCAGACAACTGTTAAAGAGCGACCTCTGATATCCCGGGTGAGTTTACAGTTTACCCATCATTCGGCCTTGAAACATTCTGTCCCATGTGGCAGCCTCAAGTCCCCGGGCCTAGTCTCTATACTACTCTTGTCTCAGCCCTAACCTCTGTAGACCACCTCACGTGACCTTAGAACTAACCATGGCAAGTCTTATAGAACTCTTCCTACGGAAAACCTCCCGGAATCCTGAAGCCCCAACATCGTAGATATAACTCCAACCCAGTCTCTAGAGTAAAGTCCTATGCAGCCCCTACGTTACGCAATGGTTGTTTCTTTGCACAAATGAGGGCTTGTTCAGTGTGCAGGCTTAGCTGAGCGAATGGTAGGAGGCTTACCGTAGGAGCCTTGCTTTCAAAACTAATAAATGCCCAGAACACGGTCCATCTTAACCCTTCCACCCCGTGGTTACTTGCCTCCGGCCCCACATGGCGGTATCCCATGAGCCAGGAGGGGGGCAGGTGAGGCACCGGATCCATGTAGGAGACCACCTGTGTGCAATTAGGGCTCCTCGGCTGTTGAGGTTTCGGGTCAGCCACTACCAGGGTCTTGGATTCAGGTTTCTGGCTGATGCTTCAGGGCTGGCCCAAGGCACTTTCTGGGACAAAGGATTTGGTGGAATTAGCTATCACTGACTGGGTGAGAAGTTCGGGCTTAGACGTTTGGGGCATGCTTTAGCCACCACCCTTTAATTTCGTTCAGAGTGAAGGGCTAGCTGTTATTTCTGCATTTTGGCTTTACGGTTGGTGTCTGTGTCGGCTGTGCGTCGGCATCTTCCGAAGGTCTTTGCTGGCCAGCAACTCAAAACTACTGCGCAGCATACGCTGGACCAGCCTTCGTCTTCTGCAGTTCCGTCTTCCCAAGAAAAAACAAAAATTCTTTGAATGTCGCAGCAATTGCTGACAACATGCCGCGCACGTAGGTATCCCTAATTTAGCATCCCGCGCCTGCTTTTTCCTTCACGCAATTCTGACACGGTTTGTGGGTAAAACTCGGCTCAAAAATCAAGGGTGTTCAAATGGAGCCCACAGAGTTGGGGCTTGCGAAGAGTTTCCTCCCTGCTGGTCCTAAAGGACATCCCGACACTAAACCTGTAAGCTGTATGGCAACCGGGCAGGATGTAAAGAAGGCACCTTGACTGACAGCTTTCAAGGATGAGCAGATGGGTAGTTCAGATCTTGTCGACACCATTTGTTGCAGACAGTTAGGATCATGTCCGCTGCCGCGGCCCGCAACGGCCATAAATCTCAAAAGAGGCAAAGTCCTAACAATTCAGAGGACTCTTTGAGAGAACTACCCAACTGCACCCTTTGAGAATGTGCCAGTTTCCCAAAATAAGGGTACCCCAATATTTACCCCAAAATACTACAGTCCTTATTATCGGAACGCCCGAAATGGTATCTCTAATTTTGGGAAACCCTCTTGCATCTTTGAATTCTGAACGGCCCGCTCTGCAGCCTGGCTTTTGTTGGGTTTAGGGCTTAGGGTGATCCAAAACTCCGATCTGGGCCACCTTGAGCTTATCCAAATAAAGAAACAAGACGTTGGCAGCTGCTGTCAAGCAGCTCAAAAGAACCAAACACGTTTTTTTTCTGAAGGTCGCTGAGGATAGCTTCGAACCTTTTGCCTGAAAGCCAACCCGTTGAAGATAACTTATATCAGTGTCGCAGAGAGTCAACAACCTGACAAGCGTCAGAAGAGCCCCTAAAACGCATGCCTAAGCAAACCGAATACACGTTTTACAATGTATGTGAATATGTGACCCTGAGCACTATTCATGCTAGCATTTCTATAATTCCTACACTCGAAACTCGAAATCAAACACCAGGGCTGCTTTCAGCAGGCGAAGTAGATTTGGAGACGCTCCACGAACTCCAAGGGGGATACTGCCGTGTCGAAGCCTCTCCTACACGCTCGCGTGGAATTTCAGGATTGGTTGGGCCGTATTTGGGGATCTCGTAGCTTGGATTCTCTATCTACAAACGCATCTATGTTTGGAAGGTGCCTCTATGTGTCAGCACGCACACACTCACGCAATCAGCCCTTTGCCGGGCGTTGCCTTGGTATACCTATCTCTGTATCTGTTCTGGCTCGGGAATCTTCATAATTACGGGGCTTGGGGGCGGTTAATAATAAATGAGTAGAATAGAATCGGCCGCGTGCTTCGGGCTTTAGGACTAGCGTGGGGGGCTGGGGGTGCATAGCGGAAATGCATAAGTTCATCCTTCAACAGTGTCTATACCGGCCGGGGTGTTGGCTTACTCTAGGGATCCAAATAGTCCAATGTAGGCAATATTTACAGACTGCAGGCCCAATGCAGGCATTACTTGCATACTTGGATCCCTAAACCCTATGCCCTAGCCGTAAATCCTAAATGGTGGCGGTAACCCTATGCCCTATTTGGTTACTTGGATCCCAACAGAGTGGCTTATCATAGTGGGCTCCAACTCCAACCCCCTGCATGCCCGGCATGTTGAAAATGTCCGGGGTATCTCAACGCGGTTTTTATACTTGAGCTTTCATAAGGTTTCTATCATGGTCATATGGGGATACACCGGGTTAGGGGTGGCGCGCTGCTGGAGACCTTAGATGCTTCCGCATGTGAATGTATGTATTATAGATATATAGCCAGGAAACTCTGGTATTTCCGAGATGATCCTGAGGTGCTGAGGACTCTTGCTTTGAGAGCACACGGCCTTGGTAAGCAGTGGCGGCTCGTCTTTGAAGGCCAATCTTATATTTTGGTTTCGTCGTGAAAAGATCACTGTCTTTCTCGGTCTTGATTTTTAACTCAATAATCTATCACACACACACAAACGCATCCTCCTCGCCGCAAGGCACATGCGCCCAGCCTGATCCATATAACCCCTAGACCATCGAGCGCCTGGAACCCTTGTAGAATTGCAAGGTCACCTAAACCATAATAAAATGGAGTACTCACAGTAGCTTTAACATTAATAGTAATCATAATAATAAGTATAATAATAGTGATCGTAATAATAATAGTAGGAATATTAATAACATCAACCCTAAGCGCGGCAGCTCCTTGCAGCTGAGGCAAGCATGACTAGAAGTGTTCTCAGGGAACTTTAGCCAAAAACTCTGAAGGTGCAAACAATCGCAAGCCCGTATAAAGTATATGTTGGCGCTACATGGGGATATATGGGGATATATGCTAGGGCTATGTGGGGGCATTAGGGATCTATGGGGGATATAGACTCTACCCGAAATGCGAAACGTTAGGAGAGGCAGATGCGGTGGGCAATGGAAGAGAGCGCACAGACCCCAACACAGGACCCGGCGCCTAAAGGGAACTTAAGTGAGTTTAGGCAGGGATGGCAACATGAGCTATAATCAATCCACACTCCTAGTATCGTCCTTAATAATCCCTGGAAGACTCCCCTCTATCATCCCCCGTATAACCTCCTGAAAGGAGTTTAGACTATGGCTCACATGGTTGAGAATGAGGGTTTCATGTTCTGAGCCTCTGCGGATTGTACATGCTCTTAAGGGTCTAGGCAATCCCTTAGGTCAAGACCTCAACCCAGACCCTTTTAATCTAAACCCTGATTTCTTCATATCAAGCCAGCGTGCCTTTGCGTGACCCGCTGTTGGTGAGCAGATGAGACAATATGGGCAGTACTTGATGCCAAGGTAGAGTGGCAGGAATGATGATTGTGATTTGGAGTTGGGGTCTTTTGCCGGCGACTTCCGGTCCAAAATTGTTGGGTTCGGATGCGGGGGTCCTCGTCTGTGGCGCTCCGAACACGGACAGAGGCTGTCCACTAAACCCTAAACTCTGTCATCTTGTTGCAATATGCCCACATCAACAATCAAACTGTACTAAGGCAGATCGGGGCTGTCATCCAGTACATGTTAACCACTTTATCCATAAAATATGATCCCTACATAGTCGATATGTAGGTATGGGCTGAGGGTTTTAGGGTACAAATTTCCTTTCTTCCCTACTAGCCCCAGTAGCCAGTAGGCTTTGTTCATTTTTTGCTGCTGCAAGCTTCACTAGACCCAAATCTGAAGGTTGAGCAACCTTTTCTTGCTGGTTGTTGAAAAGGCGATGAGAATAGAAACTACGAAGTGATTGGGGACTTTCTTGGGAACACTACAGAGATCCATTCCTCCAGTCCCGACTGATAAGCAGTGAGTCCTGTGCCCGCCCCATCTCTTACCTCTGGATTTGCCGTGATATGTGGCGCAAAAAGCTTGCTAAGCTATAATCTAAACGCCTTAAAAGGGGTCATATAGGGGATTATATAGAGGCTGTTATGGGTGTCATTGAGGGGCATACTGGGTAGACTATGGTTCATCTGGCAGCATCCTACAATTAGGCTCTCTGTCAAGGAAATGGCCGTTTTCACAAGCATAATTCGTTGATTGGATGTGCGACTGGTCAACTTCGGAAGCCCAATCATTTTGGTAAGGGATGTTGCTCATCCATGGTCCATAGAGCCATACACCTCCAGAATGCCTGACCCTTCACTGTCACGGTACGAGGACGACCCACATCTGACCACAGCAAATGATTCAAGTGCCTGTGGCACCTACCTCTGATTTTTCTTCGAGCCTGCCGATGAAAGGCAGCGCAAGGAATGAAAATTTCAGGCACGGGCACAGGCCAGATTTTGTGATTGCCCGTCTAATTGCACCTGGACCTAAAACAAAACTCACAATACCTGCAGCGGAACCCGTCTTCTAGGATCGTGCAGGCATGCGACGAGGTTTGGCTGTTCCGCATAACAGGAAAGGAGCCTATCTTGAGATTGCTTCTAGCTCTTGATTCTTTATCCCAGGGTTGCAGGTTCAGGGGGTTTCGTTCTAAGGGTGGAGCAGGACTTGCCGAGAAGTCTCGCTTGGAGAAAGCTTGCCTGCTAGCAACGGGACAGCATGAAACGCATATAAGTGTATTTTTCGACACACTAATGCACACACATATTGGCAATACATACATACATACGTACATACATACATACATACATACGTACGTACGTACCTACATACATATATACATGCATGCATACACACATACATACACTCAAACACTCAAACATACAAACATACAAACAAACAAACAAACAAACAAACAAACAAGCATGCATGCATGCATGCATGCATACATGCATACAAGCATACAAGCATACATGCATACATGCATACATGCATACATGCATACATGCATACGTGCATACGTGCATACGTGCATACATGCATACATACATACATACATACATGCCAACATACATACATGCATACATGCATACATGCATACATACATACATGCATACATACATACATGCCCACATACATACATGCATACATACATACATACATACATACATACTGGCCGTATGTATGTAACACATATGTCTTATGTAGCTCCTGAGGTCTGAACTGGGGTTCGTCTTTGTACGAACCTCCTGCTGTGACGCACATCCTGTAAGCAAATGGAATCCCACAGGTCTAAGTTTTAGCGTTCAATTCTTACAAATTCTAAATGAAGTTGTCGGAATCCTCTGAAGGACTCCAAACTAACCAGGGCGATTAAATCTGGAAGTTCCAGACTACAGACTCACTCCATTGTATACGCATTTGGCGATGTCCAAGTCAGAGCCCTTTGGAAACGCCAACGACTTAGCAAATCTTGATTACAAAGGCCCTCCCCGCACAACAAGAAACCAATTTTTTGGAAACTTCCATACAAAATCTCGCGGGCAGGATCCGACCCTAAACGTTAAACCCTAAACTTTACCCTGGGCCCTAAGCCCTAAACCGTAGACGTAGACCTTTTGCCCCAAAACTTAAACCCCAAAGGCAAATTTAGAATACCCTAGCCTTGTAACCTTGCACACCCCACCCTAGACCTTACACCCTGGACCCGACACACCGCACCCCTAACTTTGACCTGAAGTGTCCTCCTTCTCCTCCGTTTCCTTGTGCAGCTCGGTGGCTTGATGCCTGGGCCGAAGAATCCGCCAAAACAGCTGTCACTTTCCAGACTTCTCGAGAAAAGGTTTAGGGTTGAGGCTTAGGTTATTAGGGCTTAGGGTTTAGGCGAGGGTATCAGGGTTTAGGGTTTTGTAGTACGAGGGTTGAAGGTTGAGAGCACAACGAGGAAGAGCCTAGGGACCACAGCCATATGCATATGTATACATCAATGTATCTGTACATGTAGACTATATTTGGGGATTTGGGAGTCCTTGTCGCAAGTTGTGTAGGGGTTGTTTTGAGCTTAGCTATGAAGAAATTCGAGTGTTATCCATAATCTTGCCACGTTTTATAACACACTATGCTCCAGACTGATGGCTGAAACTTCGTGGCAATGCTGGCGTTCCCAAGTACTGGTTGGCCAATGCTACTCGGCTACTCTCATGCCACAATCGAATTTGTTCTGTGAACCTTCGTCATGCTTGCACGATGCACAATTTCTGCCCTCAGAAGCACTGCCTGGAGTTTTCTTGAACTGCATGCCGAAGGTACTTTGCTTTGGCATCCTCCTCATCTGAGTCGACGTCGCTGAACGCATCGAACAAGTCGTCCACCTGAGTGTCTTGAAACTTCAGGTGGAGGCGGGAGGCATGATTCAACAGGAAGTAGGTGGCTTAGAGAGATCGCATTGGATCCCCGCTAGTCCCGCCAAAGTACTATATGGTACTTCGCATGTACAACAGACGCACAATTCCAAACAACGATTTGAATGCCTTTAAGCCTCAGATTTGCCAGGCAGCTCAAATTGCACCACCAGGCACTGAGTAGAAACACCGGGCCTCCCCCCACTGAAACCCCACTATCCTAATCAGTACTCTCGTTGCTTGGCATGATGGACATCCTGTCAGAATCGCACCTTGCTTCCAATATGCTGCGTTCAACGGTGGTGCCAAGCATTGACACAGCGTATTTCAAGCAATAATTAGATGTGTTGATTACCCGAAAGCTTGGTACGTACTGCTGTGACTCTTGTTGACGGTTTGCTGTCCTTGCTGCCTTTGCCCATCTATAATTTTGTAGTACTAGCTGGTGATCCTCGCCGTACCTTTGCTACTTAAGTTTTCCGCATTTGGGCAACTTCTACGAATTACTGGGACGAGTCTGGCACTAACGTCATGTCATTGCATTGATTTGTAACATCAGGTATGTGGTAGTTTCCATAAACAGGGGGACCCCAATATAGACCCCCAAATACTATAAACCTTATTATACAAATCCGCATTAAAAGGGACCCTAATTTTTGGAAAGCCCCACATATGCGAGATGACATCTGCCCGACCGTCATCCTCGCTCGGTCTTTCGCGCTTCACGTTTACCCAGCCCCCAAAAGGATCCAGAAAATGGACCCCCCCAATAACCCATTAAGCCATTACTACATTGGGGAAGCTAGGGGATTATTTGGGGTTCCATTTTTTGGCTCCTTTAGGCGGTCTGGGTAGGGTTTACGGGAATGTTTTCGCCGTTGTAATTCATTGTTCAACCAAATCCAAAACCAAACCCAAATATTTTCTGGCTAAATACCCATGGCATCCCATGGCATAGTGGCCACGAAATGATAGGATCCCGTTTCCAAGGCGTTGCTCAACAACGAACAAGTTACATACGTTGATCGTGATATGCAACATTTTTAGGTACCGCCACCGCTACGTGCCGGGAAGAATCCTTGAATACCATTCCGCATTAGCTTCGTGGCGCCGGATGGAACGGTCATTGAAATATCGGCTGTGTCCTTGTTATTCCTGATGGCCATTTTGAAGCTATTCCGCTCACCCGCATAATCACCCCCCCCCCTCCCCCCAAAACAGTATCATCCTCAATACGATACCTTTACACGGGAGGATATGGACATCGCTATGGGGTGGGGGAGGCTAATTCGCAAGAAGAGGGCGAAACAGTTAAACACGTCAGCATACGTCAGCAGTGCAAACCTTGAAATTCCCCTCGCTCTCTCTCATTTCCGGGCGCTTAAACAATACCAGTATTCACCGTACACCCCGAATTTCAAGTGTGACTACTTGCATAGCTAGTCTTTGAATGCCAAATTTCAAATCGGCGCTGAAATCAAGGTCCCACAACTGTACACAATACAAAACCAACCCCAAAATTACCACCCCACAAACAAGCAACAGTCGTACCACATCGCAACTTGGAGTTAACGGCCCCTGAGGCTGCCACGGTCTCCTCCAAGCGTATGTTTCGGGGCCAGCTTTAAGGGTTGTATTTAGGGTTTGGGGTTTAGGGTTTAAGGTTTAGGGTTTAGGGTTTCTGATGATCTTTTTTAGTGTGTCTCGGCTGCGGTGCCCTACCCGTAAATGACTCCTCGCACGCCTTAGGATCGAGGGAGCGCAAAAGCGGACGAGTAGGGCCCGAACAGTAAGCCGGTATCACAACTGTTTTTGATTCGCTCCTGGTGTGAGCGCACAAAACATTGTACAGGTTGGAAAACCTGAGCTTGGCATCAAATTGGAGCGTTCACGGTGTGGCTCAAAACAGGTTTCGCTGCCATGTGGCTGAGGCAAATCTGATACTTTCGTTCTTGTTATTTTCGCAATCAGGGTCTTCGGGGACATCCTGACTACAGAATCTGTTCAAATGTGCAAGCATGCTGGCTGACCAACTGGACACCCTAGCCAGGCCGCTATACAGGCCACACCCAAAGAACTCGACCCGCCTGTTGCTCTCAAGCTTCTGAGATGATACTCGGCGTTAATTAGATGGCAGGAGCGAATGCTATCGAAACCTTCCTTTGAACTCCAAAAGATCAGTCCGAAGTGACCCTGAAACGCATGGAGCTCCTCATCCGAGAAGAAGCCGGTCCTCAGCTCAAGAAGCTTTGCAAAGTTGACAGAAACCCCATGGTGTTTCCTCGTGAGGAAACCAATAGCTTGGCAAGATAAACGGGGTCTCAGAGAGCCCATGCGAATCCTCGAGGGATGGGATCAACATACCTGGTAACCCCCTACGAACTTCCTTGACAACACTTATCATCAGGGGGTTCACTAGAAGAAAACGGCTTCGCTGTATAACGCAGACATCCCCGTGATTAGCTTCTTGCTTCAAGGAACAACATCAACAGTGGGACAAAACTTGTTTAAAATTCAGAAGCGCCCGGGCAAAGACCTCAATCTATGCTTTGGTATGGCATGAAGGAGTTTTGCACTAAAAAATCAAGCCCAATTACTACAGGCCACAACTATGATTGTCAAGATACATGGTTCCACTTCGCGCATTCCCATTCCCAAAGCCTCAACTTGCTTCCAAGAGGCTTCTCTCCGATCAAGAAGTAGTCCAGCTTGGCCATACCCTGCAAGCACAAATGTTCATCGCAGTTCCCTGTTTAGCATGCCCGTCCACTCCAAAGCCCAAGCCTCGTATCAACGTTTGGTCTGATTGTCGATGCCAACCCTCTTGTCCAAAGTCATGCGCATCCCAAAATAGCCCCACAACAACCATATGAGGAACCCCAATGTAACGACGACAAATCGGGGCTCGGAGCTACACAGCAAAAAAGGGTTAGGGTACACATCAGTACGCAAATGCCATTGAAGCATACCATGCTTTCCTCTCCTCATTGGACTGTATGGCATTCCATTGATTGAACAAAGCTCTCGCAGCAGGCATAGCCTGATGCTTCTACAGACTGGCGGGTTGATCCTCATGTACAAAACCGTACCTCTAGCTGTCAAAATAACCCTTATCAAATCCAAGGTATGCTTGACAAAGCTGAGGCATTTATATTATGTAACCCTACATTGGAACCCCTCCCCCAATTAAACACCCCCCACCTGCGTAACAAGAAGTAATATAATACTTTTCATTAATTTGTCGAATATTGCTATTTTGGTGCTTGTGTGAGTTTAAACTGTTGAGTTGGCATCCGGTACTTCGTAAAAGTCCTCCAAATGTGGACGGCCGCCCAAACAGAAACTGGACTTCAGAAGCGAGGTAGGTAGGCACTAGTGAAGCAATAACATCATCCAAAACGGCAATAGTACGGGGCTATAATATATGACCCTTTTATGTCAGTAGCGCGGCCCACTTGAAACTTCAAATTTGCATATTCGCAAAAGTATATCACCATGTTTTTGCACGTCTGGACACACCTCCAGGCTCGTGATTTCAGGGGGTCATGGGTGGTGTGTACTGGGAATTATGAAGGAGCCCTTTTGAGACATACCCGAATAACCACAAGAAGAAGCAAAGCACGCTGTAGGCCTTGGCAGAGGGGATCTCCGGAGCCGGTTTCAACTTCTTGGGCACCCGCGTAGGCTCGCCCAAGTCCTGGCGCTCTGTTTTCTTTTTTGGTTCGGGGGAAGGGATTACACCAGTCTACCCAAGGCTGGACCTCAAAGCCCCAGAACCCTCGCAGGACTCTCTGCTTATGACCTCGCGATTTCCAAATACGTTCTGCAGGGCTTGGGTGATGAACCCAAAATTGCAGTTTAGGGTTTAGGCACATCGTTGCCAAACCAACTAATTAGGTCTACCTCCTTTAGAATTCTGTGACCAAAGCTTCCCAAATCTCGTGACATGCGGTGATTTGGGCTGCAAATTGCTATACGGATTCTCAAAACTTGAAAGCTAACGCGAACCAACCCCTGCCTCCAAATTCATACCCACTCCATCCCAAAACGTAGTGACTCATGGACAGCCAACACGGGAAGTTTGATGAAGGCTCTGGCAGTTGGCAATGCTCGCAAGGAGGAAACATCGCAAACAAATATCGAATCTTGCTCAGCTCGCATGAACTTGAGAACAAACATAATGCAGAAAGAATGCCTGGTTCAATTGGACACCCCGCCGCCTTCAAGAGGCTGGGGACAACCAATTCAACACCCTGGATCTTAACCCGAAAACCTCAAACCTTAACCTCAAAAACCTAACTACATCTCGCCCAACACTTGGGCTCTAATCCGATGCGTAAAACATAAACCCCGAAACCCAAAACTACCCTTAAAAAGGACCCCATTAACCCTAAACCCCAAGACGTAAGCCCGAAGCCTAAGCGACAAACCCTAAACATTAACCCCCAAACACCAAACCCTAAACCCCTATGTAATCCCTAAATAACACTACAGTATAGTAGCTTCCATTTTCTTTGCCAGTAACCCTTAGTAACCCACCCTGACCTGCGTGAGGCTTTGGAGCGCTGCTAAAGCAGCCTCATTGTCAACCTCGAACAAATCGTCGTCTGCCTCCTTCCAATCAGTCTTATTTTTGGTGTTGTTATGCTCTAACATCCCTATAGAATGCTGGAATTTTTGGTAAGTTTGCTATGTAATGATGGAATTTGGATGAGAGTTGGTCATATTCTTGCTTTGTATTCAAAAGCGGTGAAAAACGCAGTACTATTAGCAATACGATCTTTATTATGATTGTTACTACTATTGTTATGACTGTTGTTATTGTGAGAACCTGAACGTATATAAGGTTTCGAGGTGAAACTATATAAAGATTAGGGTTTAGGGCTTCGGGTCTCAGCCTGAGGTTTAGGGTGTGTAGGGGTGAGGCTGTATGGGTGATTGGTTTAGGGCAGCTGAGGGCGTAGCGTTTC